GTTTGGGGTTATTGTACCAAGCTAAAAGAAAAGTGCAAGCTGGCGAGGCAACAAAGAAACCATTTCATACGACGGCATAGGAAAACAATGCCTGATCCAGTGATGTCTCGAGCTAGTCCTATTTTGAACACATGCAGGGGGTCTCGCTTGTATTTTCGAGCCGGGCACTGGTCATCGTAGGGTACCAGCTCGAGCTTGCCAGGGGTATTCCAAGGTACAGATTCATAGAGTGTCTGGGTCCATGCAGGGTCATTACCGCAGTCTTCGAAAGGATACGAGGGATCGCCTCCCAAACATTCAGGGCATATCGGGTACGATCTTGTGTCACCAAGACGACTGTAACATCTCGTAAAGTGTCCAATGCCTGCATGCCATTTGGCATCCCCCTTGCAGGATACCAGGGAAGCAAACACCTGCTGCCCATCAACATTCATGCCAGAATTGAACAACATCTCCAAGTCCTTGGCGGTTGCATCTAGGACAGCTTCCATCACCTCGGACCCCTTTTTAACCAGGTTGGTAGGCAACACAAATATCAAATGCCGCTGCAAGAACGAATGCCCTGCTGATGTAGGCCACTGCCGCTGAAGTTCCAGCAAATCTTCATTTCCTAAATTCATAGTCGATGCAGTTCCCTTGGGGCATGTGTCAGGCACCTTGCAGCACTTGTTGACGCCTGTTCTTCTTGAACATAACACGCACTCCCCGAATGGTGTAGTTTCAAGATGCGCTGTCCTCTCTGTAGCTTCACCCCAGACAGATTGCCAGTTCATGATGCTAATCGGCTGTTTTTTGGATCCTGTTCCCTCATCGCCATGAAGTTGTATAGGAAGTAGTTGAGCCAAACCATTGAGACTGAACTTTTCAAACGCCTTGTGAGTAGGATGCGACCAGTAATACGCTTTCCAGAAGGAAGAACATCGCTGGCATGTATCCCTCACACCATCTCCCCATACAACATCAGGATACGAGACGAGAAGCTTCTTCAGATAATCAGAGGGCTTGATATAAGGTATCCGTAAACACTCCCCATTCAGCTCCAGCTCCACCCAAGAAATTCGGACATTCAAGCATAGGCCGAACCTTCTCAGCAGCTTTTGCACACCTTTCTCAGCATCCCTTGTAGGAAGTGTAGATGCTTTGGCTATAGCATCGCACCTGCAGGCATCCTTGCTGGCAGCCACGCTGACACGCACAAAATCTGCGCAGGCAGCCTGGGATGTCTAAAGGGCAGTTAGTGGTAAGAATAAAGCAGAAAGGTTTGGGCTTCCTATGGGGCTTGAGGAGCTGTACGCCAAAATGCACTGTATAGTAAAGGTATGTTTGACTTAAGACATCTGTAGGGCAGCGTATCCTCGGCCACCAAAGCTCATAGAGATTACTGGACTCCACACAAACGAATTTCCCATACCTAAACTCTATATTCCCCCGACCCCAAAGCCCGGTATAAAGCCTATAAGCCTATAAACCCTATATAAACCAATATAACCCGAACGCCCTGGAACAAGCTTGTGAGGTCTGTGTTCCCCATGAACAGTGTATTGTGTTCTCTCTCTCTCTCTATATATATATATATGTGGTATATATATATAAGAGCAAACTCCCAAACCCTACTCTCTCCACAAGACCCCGAACCCCTATATTAGAATCTATATAAGCCTATAAAACTGTGAACCCCAATAAACCCGAATCCCCCTATAAGGTTCAAGCATCTATATGCCCAAAAGCCCATACTAAACTACCATGCCAAAATCCTAAACTCTTATAAGCACTGGATAAACCCAACCCAATACCCCCTATACCATATAAACCCCAGATAGGGACTTTAGGAAAGGTTACTGTTATAGCAGCCCTGTAGGCCCCATCACCAACCATCTCGGCCAGCTGGTGCGCAAGGGCACCAACTTCATGGTTAGCAGTTGCAGCATCATCACCTGGCATGCCCCATTTCAGGAACGAAGGTAAACTGTGGAAAAGATGAGGTTGCCCAGAGCAAACAATAGCACAACAGAGGCACTTGAGCGATTTTCAACAGCCTTCGCAGCGCTTTCTCCGGCTGCACATAATCAGGTCCACAAAATCGGGCTTATTAGAGGCCAGCAGTATACCCACTTAGAGGACAATCTGCGGTCAACATGTTGTGCTGTGACACTTGGTTTGTTGAGCATCTTGCTTCACGTACTGGCCCCGCACATGCCCAAAACACAGAAGTGAGCGGTCATCCAAAACCTCACTTATTCTTCTTTGATTTAGCTGCGGTCTCCTCAGAATCTGCCTTGCGCTTCGGGGGTCGCACAACTACCTTTGGATTGCTGCCTCTCTTCGGAGCTGGCATCGAGGAAGGTCGTGGAAGCAAGGTCCTTCCAAGATATCAATAATTACGGAACAGAAAGCGAACACACAAACCTGTGTGGTCCATAGGTGTTCTCCTGGCCCGCGCTTGTGCGCCCAAAGACTCCATCGCCCTTGAGTGCACACTGCCCATACTTTAGAATGTATAAGGCTATGTATAGACCGCCTTCTTTTTTGGGGTGACCATAACGGCTTGCTTAGAGGATTCGGGAAGCAGAGCAGGCAGCATCCTGAAACAATATGGATTGCTGCATGTAGTCCTATGGGGACTTAGGTCCCCCACTACCTGGTAGCCCACTACCTGGTACCCTACTTCCTATAGACCCAAATAAACAAGGAACATGGCCTCAATAGTAATGGGTACCAGGTAGTGGGGGCCCTAAAAAGTTCTAGGATACCCGGTTCCCATATGGAAGCCTCATAAACCCCTAGATATAAACCTTATAGACCCCAATCCCCCGATAAGCTTTATAAGCATGTATATAAGCCCAAAAACCATATTAGATCATCATCCCCAAAACGCTAAACCCTTCTAAACACTGTGTAAACCCAACCACTATTTCCCGTAACCTGACTTTCCTACCTCACACTATCCCAAGCGAGAAGCAGCTTCTGCAGGGCATCGATGTCGTCTCGGATCTTCGTCTCAGTCCTGGCAGGAAGACTGTGGGTTTTTGCGCTATAAGGCTACATAATATTTAAAGCTTTATCGGGTTTAGGCTTCAGGCTTCCGGCAGGGATAAGGTTACAGGGTTCCAGGGTCCTGTAAGGATTTTGGGGTGCTTTAGAGCTTGGACTTCCACAAAAGCCATGCGCGCAACCTCATGGGAATAGGTTTGTACATAACTGTAGAGGATCCTGGTGCAGGGATTTTTCTTCCAAGGTTTTGGT